CAATCAAAAAGGGGAGAAGACAGATGAAGCCTTCAAGGATGTGTCTCGGTATAGAAGACTTGTTGGGAAACTGATCTATCTCACTCTCACAAGACCAGATCTCTGCTTTGCCGTTAATCAAGTAAGCCAACATATGCAAGAACCAACCATATATCATTGGAGCATGGTGGAAAGAATTCTCAGATATCTAAAAGGGAGTCCAGGTCCAAGGCATTTGGATGGGAATGAACAACAATACAGAGATTGTGGGCTATTGTGACTCAGATTGGGCTGGAGATAGAACAGATAGAAAGTCTACAACCGGCTATTGTACCTTCATCGGAGGAAACTTGGTAACTTGGAAGACTCAGAAGTAAAAGGTGGTCTCATGTTCAACTGCAAAAGCTGAGTACAGGGCCATGAGAAAGCTCACAAGGGAATTGACGTGGCTTTAAGGCACTCTTGAAAGATCTTGGAATTGAACAAGACAATCCCATCACTATGCATTATAAAAACCAAGCAGCTATTCACATTGCTACCAACTCAGTTTTTCACGAGAGGACTAAGTCTATTGAAATAGATTGCCACAAAGTTTGAGAGGCTATTGAGCAAGGAATAGTTCTACCGTGTTACACAAGGAGTGAAGATCAACTCGCGGATATATTCACTAAGGCCGCAAGTCTTAGAGTTTGCAACAATCTGTTCAGCAAAGTAGGACTTGTGGACCTTACCCAACCGTGAGCTTGTGTCCCTGATTCATGTGCTTCATACTCTTTTTCCCTCAACAAAGTTTTTTCCCATGTGGTTTTCTTTTTTGAGGTTTTTAATGAGGTGAAGTTCATGGATCTTCAAGCTTAGTCTACGGATGCTCTTCGACTAAGCTTGAGGGGGAGTATTAAGCAATAAGGCTTTATGTAGTCAGCATTAAGGGTCTCTAGGCCTTATTGAGTCCAAGCATGTCTAAAGAGGAAGCCCATGTATAAGTGTCTCAAGCCCATGGAAAAGACTCGGTGATTTTAGAGGAAAAGAGCTCGGGTGTCCGTACAAGTGGTCCCCCTTTCACAAGCGTCTCTTCTTGTCAAGAGAGCCGTTAGGTGCTTTTGCTTTCTGCTTTTGCTGGATCCAAGAGACAGAGTCACATGTTCCCATTCCGCAGACTTGGCTAGTCTCTAGATATTTTTAACCTAGTTTCCCTTATGTCTTTCTATATATAGCCATGTAAACAACATTATCGAATATACAGATTTGGAGGCATTGTCTCATTTTCTTTGTTCTCTGTCTCAGAAACTCTTTGAAAAATTCTGCAATAATTCTCTAAATATTCTAACATTCCATAGCTAACCCATGAAATTTATTACTCTGCACCATATTAATCGAGCCTTTCTTGATCTCAAAATGTTTGTTTTCGAAAGCAGGTGCTTGGATTCCTTGCCTATTACCATGAGCATTTGCTGCATCCCCTACACCTACCAAGTTTGCAGTTTTTGGTGGGTGTACTGGTGCTATCTAAACCCTTGCAGCCTGATTTTCTTTCTGTACATTCTCTAGACACCCAGCAGAATCATGCAGATGTTGATTCTCCATTCTTAGCCTCTCAAGATGCTCGGCCCTGTTTATTTCTATTCTTGTTTCTTAAGTTCATACACGTTAAAGAAATAAGAACAACTCAAGCAACACAAATTAGAGCACTTTAGGGGAAAAAAGTCTTGATTTTTAAGAGATTCCAAATCTAAATAAGTAAAGTTGTTCCTAATTGGCAGCAGCACCAAATTAATAAAGAGATTTTTGTTCAATCAAAATCTAGATCAATCCCTTAAGCATATTATTGTAATACTTGAGGTTATCAATCATATTGGGAGAAGTCTGTTAATCTGCAGATTTTGTTTTTTTTTTAATCTAGCAAACTAAATGAAAATAGCAAGTAAACAAGCAATTAAGCAAACCAATTAAGAAGTAGCAACTTCAGCAAATACTTAACAAAGTCACAAAACAGAGTAATCACTAAGCAAGATTTGATAATGATAAAAAAGACAAGCTCGTGAATGAGGTTATGGACTTTGGGGGCTTCTATGATCAATCTAAGATGTCAATACACACAATCAAGCAATTTTCTTTAGCTTAGAACCCTTAAACAAGACTAATCCACTCTCATGGCATTAATTATTTTGTTAATTCTCTTAATCAAGATCAAATTCTCATTTGTGAAAAAGATCTTAGCAAGCATTATAATCAAGTTCTATTAACCATTTAATTCATTTAACAATCATTCTTATGTGAAAAATAAAGAAAACTCTTATTTGGTTCATCGGGAATTTGATAAAGAGATTTTGTTCAGTCTAGGTCAATCCTTTAATTAAGGATATCATAGTAATACTTGAGGTTATCAATCCAATTGGGAGAAGTCTACTTAATCAGAATGCAAGAAACTCTTGCATCCAAGACAACAAGATTGATTTTTGCTTTGACCCTAACAGCTAATTACTAAAATACTTAATCAAGCAAACAAAGTTAAATACTTAAGCAATATTTAAATAAGATAACAAAACAGACTCAATAATAAAAAGGTAATCTCTTAGATGAGGTTATGGACTTTGGAGACTTCTATGATCAATCTAAGATGCCAATATATACAATCAAGCAATTTCCCCTAGCTTAGACTAATCCAGTTTTATGGCACTAATCACTTGATAATTATCTTTAATCAAGATGAAATTCTCATTTGTATAAAAGGTTATTTCAAGCATTAAAAACAAGTTCTATTAACCATTTAATTCAATTTACAATCATTCTCATGTGAAAAATGAAGAAATTTATTTGGCTCATTGGAGAATTTCATCAAACACCTTGAGACTTGGCCGAGGCACTTGGTCGAGGATGTTTCGTGTCTCATTCCTCGGTCATGCTTGGTCGAGGCAGCTTGGCCAAGGGACTTTCACTTGTTATCCCTCGGGCACAGCAGGTTAAGGCCGGGATGCATTCAGGGCACCATTGTTGGGGTCGGTTTTCACCCCACTCAGATAAAACCATCTCAAAATGAATAAGTATGGAAGAAAGACGAGTGGGAGAGCCGTTCTCACCAAGACAAGTGGGAGAGCCGTTCTCACCAAGTGAGAGAACCGTGAAGATAGACCAGTAGGGAGAGCCGTGAGGAAAGAGAGATGGGCCGAGCCGTATCGCAAGAAATGGGCCGAGCCCCTCTCCAACACGCCTGGGCCGAGCCGCGCCTCGGTGAGGTGGACCAGATCACGCATCGACTCAAATGGCAAGTGTGCCGAGCCGTGGAGAAGTTCAGATGGGCCGAGCCGTGGAGTAGTTCAGATGGGCCGAACCAAGGCCTTGAGAGACGAAGCCCATAAAAACCCTAGGCGAAATACAAAGGCGGTGAGCCGCACGAGGCGATAAGGAAATATTCCGAAAATCTCTCCCGAGATTCTCGGCTAGGCGGTTCAGAGAATTAGTATAAATAGATGATGTATACAATTCATTCTGTAATTTTGGCAACCCTAAGCAATAAGAGCTAAACACTTTTACAGCAAGAAAAATTTTCTTTCGATCTTTCTGTTCTTGGCGATAAACCCTAGAAGTTTCCGATCCCTTAGTTTTTTTTAAACAAATTTCTGGTTGTGCGAGTTTTGGCTCACACAATTTGGCGCCGTCTGTGGGGACTCGAAACTTTCTTACTCAAAATCGACAAGACTTTAAGATCCGAAGAACATGGCGAGCAACACCCCCGACGACAACAACAACAACACCGGTAACGGCGCGGAGAAGGACGCATCGGGCACAACGACGGCAACGATCGAAACCCAAGAGGAGATGCGAAACATGATGGCTGCGTTGATGAAGAAAATCGACGAACAGGATAAAAGAAACGAGACGATTACGGAGAGGCTCGACACGATGGCGGCTGAGCGACTGCACCCAACTTGGAGAGCCAGAATTCCCGACCCGATGGATGGAATCCGGAGACGCTTCGATTTCTCGACACCTGCAGAAGCCTCAAGGAGCAGCGCAAGAAACCCCTCGGCTCCTCCAATGTCTCGTCTCCTCGACGAACAGACCCCCGCGGCGACCTGAGTCAACATGACCGAGCCGCCCCCTCTCCGCCAAAATTCGAGGCGACGAGCCGGCGAAGAAGAGAACGATGCGATCGACATAGACGCCCAGCAGAACGACGGAACCACGAATCTGCAACAAACTGGCTCGGCTCGCCGAATAATTCAAGAAGAGCTCGCCTCGGCACTAAACGGCATCCAAACTGACGAAGTCTCCGATCCGACCCGCTGCGACAATCCAACCAAGGAGGAAGAAAACCTCCAATGGATCGAGCAGGCAGAGCGCGAAGACGAGCCGAGGAGAGAGGAACGGGAGCGACCCCCCCAATCAAAGGGAATGACTCACGCACAGACTCTCGAACTCAAAGAGCTGCGAGCCTCGATGGCTCGGACAGTAGCTGAAATACGCGCCATGAAATCCCAAGTGCATAACGCGACAAGCGCCGCGCCCGAAATCGACCGAATGCTTGATGAAACTCAGAGAACCCCATTCACTGCAAGAATTACGGAGGCCAGAATTCCCGAACCGGGAAAGGTGAGAATCCCGTTCTACGAAGGAAAAACCGACCCGAAAGCACACATCACAGCGTTTCAGATAGCAATGGGACAAGCCTTCACAAAGAACGCCGCTAAACTCACCGAGCAGGAAGTAGACGCAGGATACTACCTTCTCTTCGTGGAGCAACTCAAGGGAGCCGCACTCGAGTGGTTTTCGAGGCAGGAACGAAATTCAATCGGCAATTTTCAACAGCTCTCCGCCTTATTCCTTAAACAATACTCGATGTTTATGGACAGAGGAACATCTGATGCCGACCTGTGGACATTATCCCAAGGACCAAACGAACCGCTTCGGGATTACATGGAAGATTCAAGGCAGTCGTATCCAAAATAAAAGGGATAAGCGACAAGGCTGCGCTCGAGGCTCTGAAACGATCTTTGTGGTACAAATCCGAGTTTCGACGGGAGATGGCTCTCAACACGCCGCAAACAATTCAAGACGCTTTGCACCGATCATCAGATTTCGTCGTAAACGAGGAGGAAATGAAAAACTTGGACGAGCAGTACGAAGCAACGAAAGCAGCAATCCGAAGCTCAATTTTGCCGCGCCCCGCGAAGAAGGGCAACCCATCGAGCAACGCGTCAACGCAGAGCTCGGATGAACCTAGAAACGGAGGCGCCCATAACTACCAGATAGGCACCGGGCGCGGAAGAGGGGAGCCGCGCAACAACACTTGGGTGAGAAAGTCCGTCAACTACGACGAGAAGGCGCTCTGCGAGTATCACCAGACCTACGGGCATTCAACGGCTCAATGCCGAACTTTAGGAGCAAAGCTCGCAGCAAAGATGGCAGCGGGAGAGCTCCAAAACGCGGTCAGCCTCAAAGACCTCGTTCCTAACGAGCAACAAGAGAGAGCCGAGCCGAGCGGCGCGGCGGAACCCACGAATCCTCCCCGACGAGGCGATAACCCCAAACGCGACAGGAGAGGCGAACCTGAAGTGCGACCCGAGCCGAGGCAAAGGATCAATATGATCATGGGTGGATCCCAATACCACCAAGATATCGTGTCTTCCATCAAAGCCTATCAGCGCCGAGCCGAAGCGAAGGAGAATTGGACAGAACCAATCGACATCCCAAACACAGTGATCTCCTTCGCCGAGGAGGAAACAGCAGGAATCGATCGACCTCATAACGATCCGTTGGTGATTGAGTTAACGATGAGGGATCATGACGTAGCGAGGGTGCTCATCGATACTGGAAGCTCAGTGAACGTCATCTTAAGGGAAACACTCAAAAGAATGGGAATCGACCTCTCCGAGGTAGAAGCAATCCCCAAACCTCTAACCGGATTTTTAGGAGAAACGACGATGACTATAGGAACGATCAGGCTTCGTGTGGTAGCTGGCGGAGTCACTAAGATCGTCGGATTCTGCGTCACCGAGCACCCAGCAATATACAACGTGATCATGGGAACTCCGTGGATCAACGGGATGAGGGCGGTACCCTCTACCTATCATCTCTGCCTCAAATTCCCAACCCCAGCAGGTATTAAAACGATCTGGGGGAGTCAGAAGGAGTCACGAATGTGTTGTCTAGCCGAGCACAAGCTAAGGAACCCCGTCACCGACGCACGAGCAGACATCGACCGCAAAAAGATGAAGACAGACCGAGAGCCCGCGAACGAGCTCTCGAAACTCTTATAGCAATTACAGATCGCGGAGAGCCGCGAAACACGTGCCGAGCCAGTATGCGACGCAGTGGATTCGGTGTGTATAGATGAGGCGCGCCCGGAACGATGCGTCGAAATAGGAACAAAACTGGAAGAGCCTCTGAGAAGCAAACTCCTTTCCCTCCTCAAGGAAAACATCAACACTTTCGCCTGGACAGCAGAAGACATGCCAGGCATAAGCATCAACGTGACCTGTCACGAGCTGAATGTGGATCCGACCTTTAAACCAGTAAAGCAGAAAAGAAGGAAGCTCGGCCCCGAACGAGCTAAAGCAGTTAACGACGAAGTCGAAAGGTTACTCAAAGTAGGATCAATCGCCGAGGTCAAATATTCGGACTGGCTCGCAAATCCGGTGGTCGTGAAGAAGAAGAACGGCAAGTGGCGAGTATGTGTGGATTTCACCGACCTCAACTAGGCGTGCCCAAAAGACAGCTTTCCTTTGCCACACATCGACCGGCTCGTCGAAGCCACTGCAGGGAATAGACTGTTAACATTTATGGACGCGTTCTCCGGCTACAATCAGATCTTAATGCATCCGGATGATCGAGAAAAAACGGCATTCATAACTGATCGCGGGATATACTGCTACAAAGTCATGCCGTTCGGGCTCAAGAACGCAGGAGCAACGTATCAACGACTCGTCAATAAAATGTTCGCGGCTCAGCTCGGAAAAACCATGGAAGTATACATCGACGACATGTTAGTCAAATCACTCAAGGAGGAAGACCACGTCGCGCATCTACAGGAATGCTTCGAACAATTGAACAAGCACAACATGAAACTAAACCCAGCGAAGTGCAGGTTCGCGGTCACCTCGGGAGAATTCCTCGGCTATCTGGTAATTCACCGAGGCATAGAATCAAACCCCAAGCAAATCAAGGCTTTAATCGAGATGCCCTCTCCAAGGACGAAGCGCGAAGTGCAGAGGCTCACAGGAAGAGTCGCCGCACTAAACAGGTTTATTTCCCGTTCCACAGACAAATGTCTGCCCTTCTACGACACCCTCCAAGGAAATAAGAAATTTGAGTGGGACGAACGATATGAGACGGCTTTCCATGAATTGAAGAATTATCTGGCGAGCCCACTAATCTTAGCAAAACCAGTCGAAGGAGAGTCGCTCTTCCTCTACATCGCAGTGTCTGCTACAGCTGTAAGCGGAGTGCTTATCAGAGAAGAACGATCCGAGCAAAAGCCCATTTACTACATCAGCCAGACATTGACCGACGCCGAGACTCGCTACCCCCCAGATCGAGAAAGTCACCCTAGCCGTCGTAGTCTCGGCTCGGAAACTGCGCCCGTACTTTCAATCACATTCGATTGTTGTGCTCGCTATGCTTCCGCTGCGCTCGATCTTACACAGCCCTAGCCAATCTGGTCGGCTCGCCAAGTGGGCCATAGAGCTAAGCGAATACGACATCGAGTATCGGAACAGGTCGTCTGCAAAGTCACAGGTGCTCGCAGATTTCCTCATTGAACTTCCCGCCGAAGCAACAAACGAGCCGACTCTAGACGAAGTGTGGACGCTGCACGTCGACGGCTCGTCGTCAAAACACGGCTCGGGAATAGGGATCCGCCTAACCTCTCCCACCGGAGAAATATTAGCGCGCTATACAAAAATCAGACCAAAAACGTATCAGGTCGCTATGGTTTACTATCGCACACGAGAATATAAGTCGAGATTACATCGCTTTCTCTAAAACCGAAGTAAACTCCTGAAACCCGGACAAACATACTCATCCTCTCTGAAACGCCGGTCTATAGTCAAAAATCATCCTCGGCACCACGCAACGAGAGAAACGCCTCGTCGTTTACACGGCTCGGCACCACGCAACGAGAAAAACGCCTCGTCGTTTACACGGCTCGGCACCATGCAAAGAGAAAACGCCTCGTCGTTTACACGGCCCGGCACCATGCAAAGCGAAAACGCCTCGTCGTGTACACGGTTCGGCATTGCCAGAAAAAATTTGCTGCGACATTATCGCTTAAAATCTTTCCAACATCATCTAAAAGATGTTCCACGAAACTAACTCCCAGGTCGGGATTAAGAATCCGAACGAGATCCTTGAACGACTCAACCTTTAGCCCATATTTCTACCGATTTCGAAGAATTTGGTTAAGGAAGCAATCAAAATCAATCTCGACACAACAGTTTTCATCCTCGACAATTTTCTCTAAGCCAACGGTTTTCACAGATATTTTGTGCAAATCGTTAAAAATAAGTTCATCAAATCCTAAAACTGCTAAGGGAAAAAGAATATATCCATAAGCAAAAATAAATGTCGGATGGATAAAGCCGTCTAGGCACTGGTTATATAAAAGAGTTCAGAAAACAGATAAAAATCCTATGTACAGAAGCATGAAAAACAAAACAGAGAAAAGCAGAGAGTATCAGGTCGCGGACTGCGTTTCACGCTCGGCGAGGAGGTTCGAGAGGACCGGCGTGCCCGCGTTCGATCCGTTCGGATCTACGACGCCTAAGTTTGCCGCTGTCTCTTCGAGCGGCTCGTTGCCAAGGGTGGTGTCGACCGAGTCGGGCGATACGGGAGAGTAATACAGCTCGCCTCGGATCTCGGAAGCAATACGCTCGTACGCCTCGTCGTCGGCATACTCACTCTCCCAGCTCTTCAGCTTCGCGTCCTCGTCGTCAAGCGTCGGGGCATCCGGCTTCTTCAGGTCGGCAATCATCGCAAGATTGCCCTTGATCTGCCCAGATCGTTCTCATCATTTTTGGCCTTCTCAAGCCTGACCAAACCCTCCTCCACCTTGACGAGGCGTTCCTGAAACTTCGCCGTAAGCTCTTGCCTCGCCTCCTTTTTCGCCCGCTTGACCTTGACGTCGAACAAGGCGTCCTTGGCCTCGATACGCCTCTTCAGCAACGCCACCTCGGTGCTTTTGGCTCTCCTTGCCTCCTCCAGGCGAATCACCGAGGCGGAAACTTTGTCAACATTGGCGTGGAGAACTATTTTCTCCTCTTCCAACCTCGACACTCGGGTCTTCGCCTCGGTGAGTTTCCCCTTCGCCGCCGCGGCTTCGTTTTGCGCCTCTTCCAGCTTCACCTTTGACGCCGTGGTCTCATTTCGGGCCTCGTCCAAACGACGCTCGACCTTAGACAGGTCCGCCTCATACTCGGCCATCAGGTCGTTAATGGCCGCGACAAACTGCATAGAACAAACCTGCGTTAAACACTTCGTAAAATTCGAGAAAATAAAAGAAAGCAAATAGAACGTACCTCGGTACCGCGCTGCGCCATCGCGCCGTATAACCTCGGCCTCCTCAGCTTCTCCGGAGGAGGAAGACGCGTGTTCGCGTTATTTACACGTGAGAACATGACGGCAGAAGCGTCAGGGTCGTTAACAACCAACTTACGCGCGGCGGGATCCTTGGGTGTCGGTTTCCGCCTCTTCTTGGACGGCTTGTCCTTCTGAACAGCAACGCCCTTCCCCTTGTCGGTAGCCGAACGTTTTCGGCTAGAGTCGTGCTTCCGAACAACCGAAGTCGGAGGCCTCGTCGACTTTGGGAGGGCTAGGATGGCGGATTGCGAAGGAGTCTTAAACCGCGCCGCCGAGTAGTCTCCGGACACCTCGGGGATAATTTCGCCCGGTTCCACCTCGGGCGCTGCGTCCTTCTCGACCACCTCGGCAGTGTCGCCTTCTGCAGCCCGGACCATTATATCTCCTTCCCGGCTCGGCGGGTCGGGTTGAAGGACGGCCTCGGCTTGCTCTGAAACCGCCTTGGCTTGTGCTGGAACTACCTCGGTTTGCGCGTGAGCCGCCTCGGCAGCTCGTCTAACGGCTTCCTCTTCCTCGCGCCTCTTCATTTCTCTGAGAGCTATTATCACCATCTTCTCTCGGGTATCTCTTGAAGAACTTGAGGACGAAGAGCTGACGGGGACTCCGGCAAGGATGGCTCGCGCTTTTTCTACTCTTTCGAGGGTGAAGTTCTTTCTCCAATTAACCTTCCGTGCCGAAAGAGCTTCCGTGCCAAAAGAGAGTCTCGAACAGTAAAAAGGTCATCGGGAATCGGGGGAAGAAAGCACCGAACTGCAAAACATAGCAAAAAAAAAGAAAAATTTTCAGAAAAAGAAGAGGATACCAAAAACAGTTCCCAGCCGAGGCAAAGCTTCGGGTCGGCTACCAAGTGGTCCCCAAGCGGTCTTGGTTCTTTGAATGTAATTCTCGCCGACCAACGCCTCGTTCACCAACACGTAGAAGAAGCGTTCAGTCCAAAACTGATCCTTGCTGGGAAAACCGCCGATGATCCGTCGCTTCGCCTTGTCGGAAATATAGAATCTATTTCCCTTCGGAGCTTTCCTGATTTCCAGCAAGTTCAGCAGGTGATTCAGCTCGATATCAACTCCGCACTCGAAACTTCGAACTAAGATACCAATCATATGCCGTAATCCCCTCGGCATGATCTGCCCAATCGAGATCCCGTGTTTCCAGAGATATTCAAGGATCACTCCGGGGATCATGAACCAGAGGAAGCAAAGCTCGAAGAACGCCTCGTACAGAGTGAAATGATTCTCTGGGGGCTTGTCGGCTCGGTCGCTCTTCTCTGGAACGACGAACTCCACCACCTCGGATATCCCGAAGCGATGCCTCAACGCCTCGAGCGACTCAAGGGAGCAAAGCGTAGAGCCAGGCGGGTCAGGTTTTTGTCTCTTAAGTCTTGGCCCTCGCCCAGATGTGGAAGCGCCTCGGGACGCCATGAGACGTTCCAATTCACGCTTCGCCTCGAAAAGGTCAAAGGGAAATGCCTCCTCCTCGGCCTTGAGTGCGGCGCGGTTAATGTCTTCATCAGGAACAGGATCCTGGGGACGGCTCATCGAAACCGATGGCTCGCCATCCGGAGAACCGACATCTGATGAGTTTGCATGTTTTGACGCTTCGTCAGATGAACGATTGGAGGGGCTCGGCGAAACAGACGCCTTGGAGGATTCTGCCGAACGTCTCGCATCGGCATCTACGCGGCTCGGCTCGTAATGAAAAAGTGAATCCAACGAATCGTCGGAGCAGCTCGACATAATTTACGACTTGTACAAGAGTTACAGCACGACTCGGCGAGCCTCTATCGGAAAAAGATCTGGAACGGCGGAGACCTCGAAAACCCTAGCCGGAAAATAAATAAACTAGAGAGAGAAAGAAAAGAGAAGGGAGAGCTACCTTTAGTAAAAACGAGTGAGTCTGAAGATAATGAGGAAGAATGAAGGAGCTCACCCATTTATAGGAAAACCGAAGCGCGTGAATTCTGCGTAAACCTCGGGAAACATTCCAAACAGCGCGTGGAATCCGCAGTGAAATGGCTAGATCGAACTACGTCGGTCGCACGCGCCAATAAATTAGGAATCTTCTCTCGGAAGACCAACTCGTCGTTAACGAAACGACACGGCATTAACTCTTTCTCTTGAAACGCCTCGTCGTTAACGAAACGGCACGGCATTAACTCTTGCTCTCGAAACGCCTCGTCGTTAACGAAACGGCTCGGCATTAACTTTTCTCTCGGAACGCCTCGTCGTTAACAAAACGGCTCTGCACTTCCTCTCGGAACGCCTCGTCATTAACAAAACGGCTCGGCGTTAACTCCCTCTCTTAAAACGCCTCGTCGTTAATAAAAAACGGCTCGGCGTTAACTCCCTCTCTTAAAACGCCTCGTCGTTAATAAAAAACGGCTCGGCACGAACTTTCTCTCGAAACGCCTTACCAAACAAAATCGCCTCGTCCTTAAACTTGCCTCGGCACCCTCGGCGCCCCTTGAAACGCCTCGGCGTCTTCATTCCCAAAACACTTCATCTGGGCTTACGTCATAACAGCTTGACTCGATGGTTTATCCTACGATCAGGAGTAATGGACCTCGTCACTCTCGCCTCCGAAACTGACGGGCTGGGGGGCTAACTGTTGGGGTCGGTTTTCACCCCACTCAGATAAAACCATCTCAAAATGACTAAGTATGGAAGAAAGACGAGTGGGAGAGCCGTTCTCACCAAGATAAGTGGGAGAACCGTTCTCACCAAGTGAGAGAGCCGTGAAGATAGACCAGTAGGGAGAGCCGTGAGGAAAGAGAGATGGGCCGAGCCGTATCGCAAGAAATGGGCCGAGCCCCTCTCCAACACGCTTGGGCCGAGCCGCGCCTCGGTGAGGTGGACCAGATCACGCCTCGACTCAAATGGCAAGTGTGCCGAGCCGTGGAGAAGTTCAGATGGGCCGAGCCGTGGAGAAGTTCAGATGGGCCGAACCAAGGCCTTGAGAGACGAAGCCCATAAAAATCCTAGGCGAAATACAAAGGCGGTGAGCCGCACGAGGCGATAAGGAAATATTCCGAAAATCTCTCCCGAGATTCTCGGCTAGGCGGTTCAGAGAATTAGTATAAATAGATGATGTATACAATTCATTCTGTAATTTTGGCAACCCTAAGCAATAAGAGCTAAACACTTTTACAGCAAGAAAAACTTTCTTTCGATCTTTCTGTTCTTGGCGATAAACCCTAGAAGTTTCCGATCCCTTAGTTTTCTTTAAACAAATTTCTGGTTGTGCGAGTTTTGGCTCACACAAACCATCCATCAGTCAGCACAGGTCGAGCCCGTTGGTCGAGAGAGATCCTGCCTGGTTTCCTCGGACAGCTTTGGCCGAGGGATTTTGGTCGTGGCTTCTTCATCTTCAGGACATGCTTCCTTGGAAAGAATAGGTCAAGACCGCCTGGCCGAGGCCCTCTTCTTTTCTGCAACTTCTTCTAAGTCCATTCCCAAGCCTGGACAAGTCTCCATTGCTTCCAAGATCACCTAAAAACAACTCCAAAATGATGCAAGACTCACTAAGACCTAATGCATCCTATCTAAACCCTAAAAAAGCTAAGACACTAGATAAAACATGATAATAGACACAAAATTAAACTAAATGGATGTCTATATGCCATAAAATATGAGTATATAACCTCCATTGCAGCCAAGTACCTGGAATTAGATGTCAGGGTGCAAAAAATCACGGAGATTTAAAACCAACATTATGCACACCTCCAACGAGATGCGCGATATATTGGAAACTTCAATTATCACTCGGACAGCCTCTGCGACCATTACGACACCAAGATCAAGGAGTGTGAGCAAAATCTCGATCTTTTCTCTGAATATTTATTACAGGTATTCAAACAACTGAAGCTGAGAAATGTGCTAAGGAAGTTAACATTGTTCACAAGGTCATTGCTCGCTCTCAAGATCTATCTAAAGAACAACAGGATTGCTCTAAATCAGTCAAAGCCCTCCGCTTCGATTTAGACAGCAAGTATAATGATCTTGTTGTCAAGACCATCAGGCTCAACTAGAAGACCATTGATCTCTCTACTACACTCACAGCACTTTCCAATCGGTTAAGTGATGGCAGTTACCATTTGCATTATTGCATCCATCTGGTTTGGTCGTTTATCATCCATGGTACTTTGCAGGAAACAATCAAATAAAATTTTGGGGATGTACTACCTAGAATCCAAAACAGAAACAATAGATCTGAAAGAAAATTGTATAGCTTTGATGGTTTTTAGAAAGTTAAAATTCCTCAGACTAGCCTTTAAGGTTGATAAAATGACAAACTTAGCCTAACATATTGAAGGGCTTACTAGACTAACCTTATAAAGTTGGTCTTATACCATTTTGTCTAGATGTTAAATATATTACGAAAATGCCATTATGATTTTTTTTTATAAAATTTTTTTTTTCGAAAAAACTTTAATTTAGAAAAAAGTTTTTAAAAAAAATTTGAATTAAACGAAAAAAAAATCAAAAAAAAATACAAAACCAAAAAGAAAAAAAAAAAACCATAATTCATTTTCTTCCCTCTCTTTCTCCAGCACCACTCTCTTTCTTCCATGGAACTGCTCTTCTTCTTAACCTTTTCATTCCTCTCTTGCTCTCCTCTTTATCTTTTCTTTTGTTTTGTTAAATTTTGTTGTATGAATATGTATTCTTTATGAACTTTTAAGCATCGATGTTTCAGATCGAGAAAAATACAACTAGCTCTACCATTTTTTGTATCAAGGAGCCTCCAACGTCTCCAAGCTCCGAGATTTAGATCTTCCCATGGCTTCTACAATTCATTCTGCTATTACGTGAGTTTTTTTTTCTTCATTTTCAAATTCTTTGATTTTTTTTAGATCTGGGTTTTAGATATAATATCGATGATAAACTACGGAGATGCAGTGGTTGGCGGTGACAGAAAAATTAATTTTGTGTTGTTGCAAATAACTTATTTAATCTGTGGTTCTCTTCAACGGAACGAGATTCCGGTGAATGAAAAAGATTTTCCAATGAAGAATGTTAAAGACTCTATTTTTTTGTTGTAAAATTTGTAACGTATGATGGTAGATTTATTTGAAAAACGGTATGTAGTTTGGTAGATTATTAGTTATTTGATGGTAGATATATTTGGAAAATGATATGTGGTTTGGTAGATTTATTAGTTATTTGATGGTAAATTTATTTAAAATTAAATCGATGTGGTTTGGTAGATTTATTAGTCATCTGATGATAGACTTATTTGTAAAATGATGCGGTTTGGTAGATTTATTAGTCATTTGATGGTAACTTATTTGAAAAATGATGTGGTTGGTAGTTTTATTAGTTATTTATGGTAGATTTATCAGTCGTATATATTTGAATTTTATATATGAAAGATGACATTTGTTTGTTTTTTTCTGACAGATTATAGGCTTTGCAAAGGCGAACAAGTCTCCGATAGGATATCCAGCATCGATCCGATGTGTTCTACTATGAATTGTAGATTTGCATTTGGTAGATTTGTTTTGAAATGATGATAAATTTATTATTGAATTGATGGTATATCTATATTTGAATTTGTACAAATGCTAATTAGTTTTTAAACGATGATATTTTTTTTTCAAATTATATTTGTTGCCAAACATTGACCCAAGCATTTTCATATTTTTACCACATTTGCTAGTAACGTCATTATTCAATTCAATTTATTTTCTTTACTTTCACTATGATGTATATCGTAAGTGAATGAAATTTTAACCATAACACATGACTAAAGTCATTTGACATTATGATGTTCAAGGGTTTATGTAAATAAAGTTAAATGTAACAAAATATTCACAAATAAAAATCAAAAGATCATAAGTTAAAATATGGTTATTACAGACAGAAACAAAAAGACATAAGATGAATGTTTAAGTAAACTAATATGACATATATGTTCAAGATTAATATGAAAAGCAAAATTATATTAGAGAAAAGATATATCATAGAAAAAATATTCATGTCAGAAAATTTTGACCATTGATTGTTGCGTCTATACCATAAAGACCAATAATCATCTGTGATCGAATCACAGTTAATCGGTGTAATCTCAGCAAACTCGTGCAAAGAAAACGTCAATGGTAACAAAACCAACTCAAATATAACCATGGAATAAGTCTACCATACGTACGAAACCTGTTTAACATATGACACCCCAAAACAAGTCTACGACACCTCTGGTTTTTGTGTAGATTGTAGAATACATTTAGGGCAAAGAAGTAATTTCTATCTAAAAAGTCAAATGTCTACCAAACACATTATAACTAAGTCTACCTCAAGCATTGTAAATAACTCTACCATAGAAACAAGTCTACCATCAAGCACCACATATGTCTACGAGATCGAGGTTATCTGAGTATATACCAAAATTATTTAATCTACCACATGAAACTCAATAGAAGTCTACCAGACGTGCAATAACTCTACCAACTGCTCTTAAATCTACTAAAAAAACAAAGAAATCTACCAACTTTTTATAAGTCTACCTCATGTAACAGTTAATCTACCACTTAATGGAATGAAATCACCAAATTTTTACTTGAAATTAAATCTACCACATTACATAAAAATCTACCATAAGAGCGAAAAATCTACCAACTGGATATAACTCTAACAATTTCATAAATAATCTACCACAAAAGGGATAAATCTACCGTCATGTTATGATAAATTTTCGTAAATAAATCTACCACCAAAGGAAATAAGTCTACCAATTCGGGTATTAAATATACCCTATTGTCAACAAATCTACCGAAAAAGTCAACTATGCGAGTAAGTCAACGATTTCTTTAACAAGTCTACCAACACATTTGACAAGTGTGTCATACATAACAACAAATCTACCGAAACTTAATAAATCTACCTCTCATTGTCCAAACTCTACCAAGAAAAGTTTACCAACATTTTAAAAATCTACCAACTCTTGAATAAATCTACCATCGTCCTAATAAATCTACCATCCAAATTTTTGCGTTGACCAAAATTTGTTAAGTCTACCGCCAAAGTCTGGTAGACTTATCATTTTTTCAGCGTTATTTTCTACCTACGTGGCATTAAAAAGTAATGGTATTTTTGTAATTAGGTTTTTTTCAACAAAGGTGAAAAGGCTGTTTTGGGTATGCTAGGTTAGTTTTGTAAAAAAAATAAAAGTGCACCAAACAAGCAATAAATATATTTTCTAAGGTTAGTACAATAATCTTCCATTTTAGAAATGGATAACAAAAAAGAGAGCAATGGAACAAACAATTATACTTTGGTTTTCCATTTAAAATGATAAAAACAAAAACAACTAGAAATCAGAAACAAGATAAAAATCAACACACTGATTTTTATTTTGGTTTTTAGGTTTTGGAGTAGGAAGCATTGGAACTAAGAGCATCTCCAACCCAGCCTTTAAACCATCAAATTTGATGTTTTTTGTGCTCCAACCCAACCTTCAAACCCTCAAAATTTGAGGTTTTGAATAGTGAAACCTCAAATTTGAAGATCCATTATTCACATCCTTAAAACACTGTTTACTTTACTTTTTAGTCCTTACAATTATATATCTTATCAATAAAATTATATTTTATTCTTTTTCATTTTAGTCTATATAATTAGATATTTTGTAAATATAAATATATCATTATAAATTTAAATATTATTAATAAAAATCAAATAAATACTTAAATTTTAAAATTAAAATTACCAATAAAAAAATATTACATAACATTTTTATAATCAAACATAATAAAAATACATCAAAACACACAACGTAATTCAACACAAGAAATTAAAGCTACATAAAAATATAAATATTACACAAAATAAACCAAGAAATTTTTTCATATAATTTTATAGTTTGATTTGTCTGTGTTTTATTTTCTATTTTATATGTAATTTTCTGTTATTGTGTAATTATATATATATATATATATTTTTATGTTTTTTATATTTATATATAAAAATTCTATCATTATAGTTAATAATTATGAACATTGAGGACCATAATATAAAATACAAACTCTCTTTAAATAGATTTGAGGTTTTACCATTAGAGTAATGCACCCTCAAATTCTCATTTTAGGGATTTCCCACATTCAAAATAAGGATCTGGGTTGGAGATGCTCTAAATAAGAGTGAAGCAGCATTTTTTTATGGGATTTTAATCTTTATAAATAGAATGAAACTGACAAAATGAAGGAAATCAAATGAGCAGTTGTTAGATACAACGTGATGGTGATTTAACAACCTTTGGCTCTGAATACTAAATAATGTAATTTGGAAATCACTCTTAACAAACAGCTAATATGACAGATTCAATGGTTTTGACGGAAGTACAGATTCGAACCCTCTGTTTCACGGAGGATGTTTTCAGTCTCTTTATGGTGGTTGGGTCTTTCAAATGCCCCTTTTGATGTCGCTTTTTTTTTATGTCGTTTTGAGTCGGTCAGTTTGTTTGAATTTCCAATTTAATTAACAGTCAAAATGAATGTTTAAAAAATCGCTAGGCGGTAGCTAGGCGTGTGATAGGAGATTAGCGTCTAGGTGGATTAGTCGGAGACTACGTTGAGCCTAGACGTTAACGAAATTTTTTTAATTTTTTTTATAAATTTCCTATCAATATATCATATTTTTAAAAAGTTTTAATCGTTTTCTTGAAAATTATTTTGTCAAAATTTATGTTTTAATAAAAAAAGTAAGAAAAATTGATAAGTAAAATTATACAATAAAGTTCATAGAAATTAAACTAAAAATCATCAAATTATTCAAACTAAAGTAAGTTTTAATCTAAAAACTTTAAAAATGTAATGCAAAGAAAATTTATCTAACTTATTTTTCAAACACATCCATATCCACCACCTGCTCATTTTCAGACTCAAATTCAAAATCAATGGCTATATCATTTTCATCGTTGGAATTGATATTTTCGCTAGGCTCATCACTTTGGGTTTGGTAAGTAGGATGACCATTATTTTCTTCATTGATTTGAAGTGGATCGACTAACCATTCTTCAGCAAAACTTTCATCTCCCTCATCAAGAATCATATCGATGTTTTTATCTTTGATATTATGTCGCTTGTTCAAGAACTTCGCATTGAATTGGACGTAGACTAGACTATTAAGTCTATTAACATCTAAATTTGTAGAGTTCAACAAGTATAGAATAATGATCGCCTTTTGTAGAGTTTATGAAGGAATGAGATAACTGACGGTGGAGTAGTGGGGATGATTATATTAAGTTATTAACCATAAACCAATGTTTCAAATCTCTTTTGTTTTTTTTTTCTTCTTTCTGTAAACCGATGTTAGTTTACCATCCAAAACCTAAAAAATTGAATGAAAAATGATAAAAATAATTAATCTGATTTGACTGATTTTACCAGTTTGATCCGATTTTTTTGATTTTCTCCGACTTGGTCCGATTTATTACTAAACTGATTTTATGAAAATCGGGTCGGCTAATCCCGAACAGCCGCCTAGACGGCCGCCTAGTCGCCGACTTGACCGATTTTTGAATACTGGTCAAAATAAGTTATTTACAGAGTATTAAGATATGCTTGGTAATAACTTTACATTTAGCTTTTTTACTGTAGGTTTTTGGTTTTAAAAATTTTTACTGTAAAAACTGTGCTATTATTTTAAAATACTGTAGAGAATAACTGTTTTGTTTTAAAAAAAAACTGTAGAGAATAGTTGTTATGTTTTAAAAAAATTTATAAAAAATTGATATATTTTAGAGAAATGGATCTAAAAAAGGTTGAAAAAATAAGATATAATCAATTAAGTTTAGTTAGTAATTACTTATATATAAATGTACAAAGTTATATATAAATGTACAAATTATTTTGAATGATTCTGGAAAAAGAAAAAATAGAAAAAGAAATTAAATACATTTTCTTTTATTAGTTTTTTGTGTAAAATTTAAAAAATTTAAAAATCTATTTGTTAAAAAAATTGACTTTTAAAACAGTAAAATGGATTAAAAAGTTTTCAAAGTCTACGCTAAGCTACTTTTTAACTCAGAAGTCAACATGTACGATCTGTTCATGCGTTGTGCGAAAATCTTCAGGTATCTAACTTCATATCAATAAACTCTCGGAATAAAACGAGTGAGGTAGTTTGATGGCAAATTATAAAATAGCAATTATCTAACAACAGAGACTATAGCATTTGTGTTGTAAAAGCATTTACTTTTTTATTCAATTGACCGCCTAAGATAACTGGATCTTATAGCCCAAAGCTGCTTCCCAACAGCTTCCATGTCTGGCCGTTCTTTTCGTGTCGGGGCAGCACACTGAAATGCCAAACTGAACATCTTCTTTAGTATCTTCTCGTCTACTCGCTCCCTTGCGTTTGGAATCTTTGGATCCACCAATTCAAACACTTTACCTTCATTGTACTTATCGAATGCCTGCCACGAAACCGGCAAGGATTTTTAAAACTGCCCTCAAAAGTCGATTTAGTAAGGGATTCAAGTTGGAGAAGAAAGTTGAAGTAATTTACCCATCGAACCGTAATCCTCTCATCATGATCTCGTTTGGCTTCCACTGGGCGACGGCCTGTGAGTATCTCCACAAGCAAAATCCCGAACGAGTAAACATCGCTTTTGGCGGTGAGCTGATAAGTCCTCATATACTCAGGATCGAGATAACCAACTGTTCCTTTCACTTGGGTCAAAATGTGGGTCTGGTTAGAGTCAGCCGGACCGCCTCGTGCAAATCCAAAGTCTGCCACTTTGGCTCTCAGGCTATCCGTGAGGAGAATGTTCGAGGATTTTATGTCACGGTGGATTATCTGTCTTTCTGTTTTAAAGAAAAAAGAATATTAAGATGTGAAAGAAGATCCTTATAAGGTTAACTCTTTCCTTTATGATAAGGGAAACAATAATTAAGCACAACATTCTTTACCTGCATAAGAATGGAGATAAGTCAATCCATGGCATACATCGATCACAATCTCCAACCTCTGATTGAAATTGAGTTTCCTTCCATGATCACCTGCTATTACAAATGGGAGCTTTTATTGTTTATTCATATGCTCTTAAAGCCGTAACAAGCTCCAGAACATGTGAACAAGTTCTTACCATCCAAGTGTTCCCGGAGTGTACCATTTCTGACATACTCGGTTATGATAAGTCGCTCGTCTCCTTTATCAACATAACCAAGAAGCTTGACTAGATTTCGATGGCCAATTTTCGATAAAAGATCAACTTCACTTTTAAATTCCTTTCGCAGATTCTCAAAGTGTTCCTGCATGAAAATTATAATTTAGAACTCAAAAACACTTGAGAAGTTCTTTACTATTTAAGTTCAGACTGCAATCTCTCAATGGCACTGTGTAATGCAAATGAGCGGATGGAAATATTTTCATCTTAAACTTCTATTTATAAAACAGCAAGTTGTAGATCTTCATCTTCAAGATTAAAACCTGTGAATGGATAGCTCCATTTGTTTTGTCTAGAATAGCTGCCTGAGATATCTCTTGTTCAAGTCCAAATCTTAGGGTCACAAAAGCTGCCTGAGAGATCTCTAGTTCGAGTCCTAATCTTGGGTAACAAAACGCCATTACACTCACAAAGACTAAACATTATATAACTAGCCCGAGAACACGAAATTCCTTCTTTCGTATCAGAGTCCAAACACTACAAGCCCAAAGTGCCATGGGAACTCTATTAAAGAATAAGTTAATGTTGATCATGTAAAGGTTTGATTAGTAGCTTCAGTCAACATTGTCTCTATGAATAACGAAGAAAATAAGACTTGATGGAATGAAGTACAACACAGATTTGATACCACAAGAACATTGAAATTGAAGAGTTATGAAATTACCTTTTTTGCTCGTTTAATGGCAACCACCTGGCCGTCCTCTAGAATGCCCTTATAGACTATCCCAAAGCCTCCTTCACCAATTCGATTATTGTCTGAGAAATTGTCGGTTGCTGTAGCAATCTGACTCATGGTCAGATTCAAGGGTCCCATCCTACTAGGTCTTGGAGACATAGCATATCTAGATGGGCTTTGAGGAACGCGGGACGGACTAGGTGGTGCCCGGAATGAACTTGGCGGAATCTTATCGGAAGAAGGGCTCATTTCAAAAGAGGAAACTTGGTGCACTGTGATAGGATATATAAGCCTCAGTGTCAAATGTCATCCCATAGCTTAATATTTACCAAAGAGAAATATAGCTCTAGAAACAAAACGAAAACTTCAATTTTGTGGCCTAAACAATGCAATATACTGCTCTCATACCACTAAAAAGGTACTTAATATTGTTCCCTAAGCCGACGATCTAAAGGAAACGGCGAGTACCAACTCAATTGAAACTAGAAGTTGCAAGTCAAAAATTTGATCGAAGCCATTCGTGCTCTATGCAAATTCACTAATGAACTTAACTCTACTATGTGAACATATATGTGAGATACATAGTCACCTGAGTTAGATTCCTTCGGTAGTACTTCGTGACTATTTGCTTTCCTCTCCTTATGGAAGCAAGGACAACAGAGCGCACAACACCAGAGGAGAAACCCGCTTGCTGCCATGGTGACTTTAAAATGATGATATTCAGATTCAGACTCAATACTTTTGGAATCATCGACCAATTTTTCTTCCAAAAATCTTCTCCCTGCATTAAAGCAGAAGCAGTTCAATAAACCACATATCAGAAGAGCACAAGTAACCAACTAAGCATCTAGAAATGGGCGTAATCGATCTAAATCAGGGAAACTGTTTAAATTGAGCATACCTCGTAGATACTGAACTGTGCAGAAGTCGTGTCTAAAAGAGTCCCCAAGGATACAACCTTTGGCTTTGTGAAACCGTATGGCTTCGCAAAATCGGACTATGTCAACAGGAATTCCGTTAATTGTGAACAAAACCCGTTGTTGATAGGGCTTTGTGTAGGTCAAGTGATCAGACTGACAAATGCTCGAGGCCACAAAGGATGGTGATGCAGAAGTTTCCTTGGGGTGCAATAACATTAACAAACCCAACAAAGGAGTAAACACCAATCTTGTGAAGCTGAAATCATTTCCACCCATAATTGGTGAGGACTTTATTAACAAAATACTCAATAGAAAAGACTCCGCCTCAATAAGCCATTCATAAACCCAGTTAATGAGATTTTCCCCGAAATCTGTAATAGATCAAACCTGTAAAAGGAAAATTCAGCTTGAGAAAGCATCCAACACTTAAACTAAGGGAAAGGTTCCAGTTGTTGAAACCCTTTTTGCTACTGCAGCAAAGATCCAGCAAAAACCCTAAAAGCTCAAATTGTTGAATTGAAAGGTCTCCAAGGAAACAAAGAAAAAAAACGAAATCTAAACATCGAGACCATTAACTTTTTGACCCAAACTTATAAGGCAGACCAATTTAAGAGAAACTCTTAAAAGCTAAGCAGAGAAGAACAAAACCTGGAAACACGATCTTGTAGCTTTGATTCTATAGTATTTTGAATCAACTATATCGAGAACAAAGCACATCTGTTTCAGAAAACCATATCAAAGAAAGACTAAGAGGCCAAAAGTGTTTGGTCTATTAGGATTTACGACTTGGTAACAATCTAATATGGAAAGGAAACTTTGAAGATTCCTGTTCTGTTATTATTATTTACTAGATGATGAATACCCCTGATACATACGGGTTTTCTTTCAGTTAATAATTTTTAATTTAATTTTTTGGAAATTTATGTTGTGATTATCTAAGTTTGGTGTTTTATTTGATATGTGCATAACATTTTTACAGAATAAAAAAGTTAACATGCTAATTTTAAAATTGAGAGAACTAATAAATTCATTATTGTTGATAAAATTTCAATTGTAGTTGTCAATATGTGGTAATCTTTAAACAATCTCTTTTTCTCCACTGGTTCGTAAAGAGTCGCTTAAAAATTCATCTAGATCTTCCATTTGAACTAAATTACTGGCCACTATAATTGTTATTCCAAAGAACTATTTTGGTCATCGTGCACTCCATTAGTAGGCTCCATGATCCTCTCATTCCACATAGCTAGTGTGTTCTTAGTTTCTTCAACCTTCTTATACAACTCGGCCCTCTTTAACTCCTTCTCCATTTCCCTTTTATATGATTTACTCAGAGATTTTTTCTCAGATCTTTAACCCTCCAATTCCAGTTTTTCTCTCATTTCTCTCACTTCCAAAACCACACATTTTCTTTCTAAATCCATAACTCTCTTCTCAATCTCAGCTCTCGCTTTCCTCAACCTCTCTCCTTCCTCATAGCTTTCAAACCTCTCACCTTTCTTTGTTAATCCTTTTTTGGATCATTGTACATTCACTTCATGGTGTTGTTAAATTCTAATTATAAAGGCTTTAATCTTCCAAAATATCAACCAGAAATTCAAAAGAGCAATTGAAGTGTTGCCTTTATGAAATTGGTATAAACTGGGGTATGATAAATTTACATGGAAATCAATCAGTTCTGAAAAGTTGATGAACTTAAAAGAGATTTTTATAACTTGACGTGCTTCGAGATATTTAAAAGCCAACATTTCTCCATTCTAACGTCATCTTTGTTCCCTAAATCAGTGCTGTTCTTTTCTCAGTGTTATATTTGCCAGTGATCTGATATTAACTAAGTCCCACCACATCATCAACAGAAGCATAAGAAATAAAGACTTATGCACCTGAGGCTGCAGATTCAAAAAGATCAAAAAAGTGAAACTATGATCATTAACGATGAATCAGAAGAGAACGTAAAACTTCATTTACATGAAACTTCAAAGCTTTTGCTTGTTTTGAGCTGTGGACATTTCTTTTGTTTTTACCAAAGATATGTGAAACCCAACAAATAGATTGTAAGAAATTTCTCTCCTGCGATATTTCTCTTCTTGCGTTTCAAGTCGGGTTATTTACTCTACTTTTGATGCTAGTAATTAGTTTTCGCAAAATTAATACGATATAGAGAATTGAGGTTGAATTAATCTGATTAGTAATTTGAATTAATTTGACCATTAATTAATGAATAAGAATTTGAGTTTTTTTTTCCAAGCTGATGTGTCAAAATAATAAGAGCTGTTGTGCCAAGTTTGTGAGACACAACCTACTCTTTATATAATAGATTTTTCCGTCTCAGGAAAATTCGTGTTATTTTTTTGTTTTTTTTTACTCAACAAGATGTATGTCTATTAAAAAAAATGTATGTTTATTAGGTGAGGAACGTTGAAAAGAAGAAACAGAAAAGAAAAAAAAAACAACATATATTACTGAAACAAGTCTGACTATTAAAACCCGCCATACACTCACAAACCGAATGATCCAAATATGTATAGGCTACTTAACCTCGTTTCGGTTTGAATTTTCTTAACTTCTAAACTTTTTGCCACGTACATTTTTCATGCCTTCATTCTTGAAACCTTAAGCAATTTTGATGGCAGCGTGATATTTGGGAGGAATAATCTCGCCTACTATTTATTATATCTTCTCATTATAATTTTTATTATATTTTGATATATTTTTTTAAAAAAAGAAAAAGAAAGAAAAGCGCTTAAATACTTGAGACCCTTAATAATATTTCATATTTACGAACCCAACTATCAAGATCCACACCAAATCTGTTATATCGGGTTGAATTCGAAGAAATCGGGCTTACAATCAAAATTGTGGTAAGTCAAACTCTAAATAGCAATTATACTTGTCAATTTTTTTTTTTTAAAAGATTTTAAATTTTGAGTACAACTATGAGTGATTTGCTGCTGCTTGTCTTAAATTAACGCTAAATCAGATTCATTCGTCTTCGTCTTCTGATTTCGACTTTCTATTTAGATAACTTTGTAGAATTGAACACGATTATGTGTAGAATCGAAAATCGATTTATATGTTTTCTGTTCGGTTGGTAATTACAAAATATGAGTCATGGAATGTATCGAAAGAGTGTTTAATTATGCTAGACAAGAATTGTACTCAAATTCTGATTCACCGTAGGAGAAAATGGTAGAAGGAGTTGTCGATTCGGAGACGGGTAATAATCAGATAGTGTTGTGGCAGAACACTAATGAAACTACGGAAACTGAGACTGAGGAGGAGGAGAACCAGCCATGGCCACCCGTGAGAATGTTCTTCGAGCCAAGTCAGTATCATAATGCAATAAAGCTTGGAACAAGATGTTATATCCACAAAGCTGTTGCAAAATTGGAGCCCCTAGACCTTGAACCCCATGACCTGATATGGTTTATAGAACACCCACAGTTCAAACACTTTTGGTACATGCATAGGGCCATGCATGAGGACACAACACACAAGATGATGGGAATGTGGTTGCTTCTTCTTTGGAAAGCAAACACAAATAAGAAGAGGGAAGCTTGGTTTGTAGTGAATGGCATACCAATTCGCTATTCCCTTAGAGAGCATGCCTTTTTGTGTGGATTAAACTGTCTACCGTACCCAGAGAAATATGAGAGCACATGAACTAATTCGTTTAAGAATAGATATTTCCAGGAAACCGTCCCATCCCTGCTGCTGTTGAAAAAATGCTATAGTCGATGTGAGGGCTAGATCATCCTGATCGGTTGAAGATGTGTGTCGCCTACTTCTTATCCTCTATAATTAGTGAGAAAACGAAAACCAGTAAGGGAGCACCATCTGTTGACCCTTTATTCCTGAGGATTGTGATGATCTTGAGGCTTGTAAAAGGTTTCCTTGGGGTAGATATTCATTCGATGTAAATATGAAGGAGATTGAGCACACAATGAGGTATTTCAAAGGGGTCGTCGAAACATAGGCCTGGATATTTCCAAGCTTTGTTACTCCCTTGGAGGTATGTACATTATAAAGATTTTGTAAGTATGTAATACTATGAGCGTAAGTGTATTTTGTTGGGTTTATGTGTAGTTGCTAACTTTTGAGGTCATCCCATGTCTAAAGAACAAATACAGAGAAGATGTTAGAGGAGCAGAAAGGGATTGTCCCCGGATGTGCATGCAGAAGTTCCAACCATTCACCCTAAAAGGTTTCTCTTTGTCGACTCTATGAAACACTGGGTAACACTAGGGTTATCAAGAGTATATTGCAACCACTCCAAGGATGAGATAATTATTCTTGCTGGAGTCACGAAGAGGAATGAAGGAGAAGATGTCGGTGATATCGTTCCTGACAATTAGACGGGACGTTTAGTTGAGGAAAAGAAGCCGATATTCTGGAAAGAGATATGCAAGATCGATGTTGATGCCCGAGATAATAAGGAGCGGGTAAACCATCCTGCAGTGGCTAAGAAAAATGTGGTGACGGAGAATGTGGCGCCTCTTGGATTGGTGGAACAGCTTCAGAGCTTGCAGAAGAGTATGGACGCTCAGTTTCTCCGAATCAGTGCCCGAATGGATGACATTGATACAAGACTCTGCTCTGTAAAAATATATATAAAAGAGACAAGAAGAGAAAGAGAAAGACCAGGAGATGAGGAAGGAGAAGTTTTACGAAATGATGTAGAACATGAACATGAACAAGGTGGAGAGAAACTTGAAAGTTTGGTGACAACTGAGAAAGCAAAGAAGCAGAAGCAGCCAAACCAGAAGCCGAAGAAGAAGCAGAAAGTGCCAGAGCAGAAGGAGCCGGAGCAGAAGGAGCCGGAGCAGAAGAAGCCAGAGCAGAAGGAGACGAAGCAGAAGAAGCCGGAGCAGAAAGAGCCGGAGATGAATGAGACGGAGCTGAAAGAGGCGGAGCAGAAGGAGGCAGAGAAGAAAGAGGCAGATCATAAGGAGGTGGAGCAGAAGGAAGCGGAGCAGAAGGAGACAGAGCAGAAGGAGGTGGAGCTGCTTGTAGTCCAATCTCCGTATCTGCTTAGAAGTAAAGAGGTATTGAAGTTTTAAGAGTAATATCCATTGTTTTGGTAATACTTAATATTCTGTGGTAACACTATGTTGTATTACTTGGTATGTGTAGGTAGAACCAGACTTTGCTGACGCTGTGAATGTAGAAGTGGGTGCAGGTAAACGGAAACAAGAGCAATCGAAGCTAGGGCCAAACACAAGGAAGAGACGTTAAGTCTCCTCGGACATTTGGTCTTTGTATTTGTATTTGGATTAAATTCTCAAACTTTAGGGTGTGTACTTACTTCTATTTTTATTATTGGTTTTGGATAACTAAGTATTATTTGGTAAAACCGTAAGTATTATTGAAAACCATAAATTGGTATAACTAAGTATTAATTGGTGAAACCGAAGGTATTATTGAAAAACCATAAATTCGTATAACTAAGTATTAACTGGTGAAACCGAAGGTATAATTGAAAACCATAAATTGGTATAACTATGTATTATTGGTGAAACCACATGTAAATTGGGAAACCCTAAGTTCAAAGGGGTCGACATTCATTTGTATAACCTAGTATTATTTGGTGTAACCATTGTATATCTTAGTATTATTTGGTATAACCACTTATATATGAGAAATACTTGGCCTAAACAGTTTGAGTTAAAATTATCAGAATAATGTTTATACACAACATAAGGAAGTACAAAAGTTTGCGAATTGTTAACATAAGGAATCCAGAACATAAGGAAGTACAAAAAACACAAAATATAAGACACAAAACATCAGACTCATTCACCAGTTCACCATTTCAGGAAAAACCCTAACTACCCGGTACACATATCGGAATAACTTTCTGCTTTCGCGAGTTAAGAAGCAGTAGTAGCAGATGTTCCATGGTTTATACTCATCATCCCACCAATGCTCTCATGGGTTAACTGTATCGCACAAACAGTGGATAAGAGTATTGATGCGCAGTAAAAAGCAATGGTGGCTTTCATTGAACATCTGTGACAACGCTATTTGCCAACCAAGATATACTTCTTCAACGAGCTCCCAGCTGCACTTCCTTATTGTTTCCCGGCTTAGTTTGATGAGGTACTCATCACCCTCGGGATGTTCCATAACAAGTTTCATGAACATCTCGTAAACATATACTGCACGCGTGTACCATCTATCCGCCGCATCATTTATCAGTTGAATCCCTCCAAAATCGTGTCGATGAAAATAGAGTTGCATACCTCGCATGAAAAACAATCCTCGATTTCATGCATCATAGAACTCTCTGAAGACATCAATGATGAGATGAACATCTTGATCCACTGGATGACCCATATTAAAGGGATCTACTTCAGCGTAGAAGCCGGGGCCTCTGGTGCAGGCGTTGAACCTATGAAAAATAGAGCGAATCCGTATTAGATCACCAACTGTGTTAACCGTCGCTGCCAGAATTTTTTCCAGTAGTTCGTCTGGTAGGGCTAGTAGGTAAGAGTACTCTGCCATGGATTTATAGATGAAAGTGATTGAGGCCGAGTTTTGTGAAAGGGATTTTGAGGAAAATATCTGAACCCCTAAGAGAAAATGATGGATTTTTGAAATATAAAAAGAAAATCTGAACCATAAGAGAAAGGTGGAAAAAGTGATGGATTTTGGGAAAGTAAAGGAGAAGGAGAAAAATGATGGATTTTGGAACTTCTTTCCGTATGGATTTGATTTGGAAACTTAAATAATAGAAAATGGAGGAAGTGAGTAGTCTCGTCGAGTAAATGCATCCGTAAGCTAGATAATGGGAATAAGAAGGAGAGAGAGGAATAATTGCTACTCTCATTAATACGTAATTGAAAATATATGATTATTATATATTCAATATTCAATAAGAAAGAGGAATAAATCTGGAGAACTGATATATTCAGATATTTTTTTATTCAGATTTTACCACGTGAGAGGAAGTTATTTAGTGTTAAAAAGCAGAAAAATTGAGTAATTAAATATGTAGACGTGTTGCATGGACGAAATGAGAAAATTAGGAAAGAGGAAACGGTCACTTCTAAGGGATAAGGTTAAACGTGATCTGTATCTCTGTAAAAATAAATAAATAATAATAAATTTAGCTGTCAAAAAGACTGGTACAACTACCAACATTATCTTTTTTTTTACTGCTATATTAATTAAATAATTATTTCTTGGGTTTATTAGGAAAGAGACGTGACTTTTAACTTCTCCGCACAATTCTCTTAAGGCAAAACGGTTGAAGGGTATTTATTATATGAGTCGCACCCAATAGTTTTTCTTTCTCTTTCTATAAATATAACTCACTCTCCCTCTCACTCATATTTATCTTCTAAATCATCTTCTTTCTATTTAGTGTTATCTTTGCTTTCTTTCTCGCTTCGAAATGGCCCCTACATCGTGGATCATGATTCATCTGAGGGAGTTGTTGAGGTTTCCGGCGAGTAGGTTCAGTGTAGGGCTGGTGGCAGAAGACATTTACGAATGGCAAGCAACGCTGATAGGCCCCCTTGGAAGTCCATACGAAGGGGGCATCTTCTTCCCCTCCATTCATTTCCCACCGGAGTACCCCTTCAAGCCACCAAGGGTGTCGTGGAAGACGTCGATTCTGCACCCCAACATCGACAAACCCCACATTTTCTATCCGCTACTCGTCACCGCTACCTGCAGGACCGGGACGACGGTGAAAGAATTCCTCCAAGCGTTCCATGACATGCTGCTCCACCCTATGGTGGAGGAAGACGACCACTTCCTCGAAGACGTCGCCCGCATGTGCGTCTTAGAGCCGGAGAGGTACGAGAAGGAGGCCCGCTTGATGACCGAGGCACACGCCATAAATTAATTCATGGCGTTTTCACCCCAAAAATAATGAATTTTATGTTTTTAAGTTTTTAAGTTTTTAGTTATTTATAATTTATGGTTGAAGTGTTTTTAATTTCTGCTTTTATTGTAAAATATATAATTAAATTTACATGTGTTATTCTCTCTACTATATTATCTCAGCCGATAAATAAGGAAACCCTAATATATCGAGATAATGCAGTACCATTTGGTGTAACCACATGTTATTTGGAAAATTAAAAACTGGTATAACTCAGTATCATTTGGTGTAACCACATGTTATTCGGAAAATTGAAAACTGGTATAATTCAGTATTATTTGGTGTAACCACATGCTATTCAGAAAATTGAAAACTGGTATAACTCAGTATTATTTGGTGTAACTACATGTTATTCAGAAAATTGAAAACTGGTATAACTCAGTATCATTCGGTGTAACCATATGTTATTCAAAAAATTGAAAACTTGATAATACTGGTAACCTTAAGTAAGTTTTGAGTACAACTAGAAATCTTAACTACTTAAACAGATAGATAATTAAAGAAACCGAAGCCACAGCAAGAAAAGAGAGAACAACCATGTCCTTAATTTCCTTAAATATCATATCTCGTCGCGTCTGATCCAATTCTCTATCCATTTTCTTCAAAACCCAGTCCCAAACCACCTCATAAAGGAGAGCATGAGACCTCCTTGCCTCAACCATTTCCTCCTTCACCTTGTTTACCGATTCATGTAGCTGGGAAATCTCCGTCGAGTGAACCCGGTTCATGGTTCTTGTCCAACCACTCCGGCCTTGCATCTCGGTCAGATCATGCCAAACATCTTGAATCTCTTCTAGCATCGCCTCATCACACCACTTGAAGAGATGACATCTGGGATTCTACAGGACACAAACCGTATAAGCTTATGTATTCCTTATTGCAAGCGAAGAATCTTCTTCACGGATCCAAAACGGTGTGGGATTTTTTTATGATTGGTTGACGATGACAATAACAGACTCACGGAATTCGAGAGTTTTCGTACAATTCGGGTGGAGGGCTACCGCTTGAAAGCTCCGAGTCGGACGACGAGCCGAGACTTGGCATTCTTGCAAAAAAATGTTATTTTGCAAAAACTGAGAGTTTTGGTGGTTTTGGGCTTAAACCCGGATATTTGTTAAATTTTGATGTTTGGGGGTGGGGGGGGAAGAACTTAAATTTGGAACTGTCTGATTTGGGGGAAAAACAAAAATTTTAGTTTCATGGATAAACCCGGTAAATAATAAATAATTATGGTAAGGTCTATTTGTTCCAGCCAATAAGACACGTGTTGAGGTGAAGATCACTTGTCCATCATAGACACATGTCGTTTATTGTAACTGGGAATTTCAAATGTAGTTGTGCCTGCATTTCCAGTTATACTCATCATTACAAGAAAAACATCATTTTACGACGGCCGAAATGGTCGGTAATTCGTCGTAATAGGGCCATTACGACGGATTACCGACGATTTCAAAATCGTCGTAAACTCATCGTCGTAATAGACAAATCGTCGTAAAATCGTTGTATAATATACGACGACTTTGTTTCGTCGTAACATCGAGGCAAACAAAATTGTCGTAAATGCGTCGTACAATTTACGACGAGTTTACATCGAATTGCGTCCACTTGGTCTTCACCTAAACCGTCGTTAAGTGGTTGTTAATGATCGACGTAAGATCGTCGTAAAATGTACGACGCAATAATTGTCGTAAATCAGTCGTAAAGTATTTCTTCATTGCGTCGTAAAATCGTCGTAAATCTCGGACGTATAATCGTCGTATTTGTCGTCGTATATTATAGTCGTAAAGTTGTCGTAATATGTACGACGACATTACGACGGTTTGAATAAATCTATTACGACGATTATACGACGATTTATATATATGAAAAATAAAAAAAAATTAATTGAAAATTTTTAAAAAAAAATAATTCGAATTAAAATTTAAATAAAAAAAATAATTTACAATTTGAAAAATTTTAATTTACAAAAAAAACCCTACAGGTCATCTAAATCTAAATGTATATCGTCGATCCCGTCACCGGCCTCCTGGACATCGTCTTGGACGTGCTCCTTGCCGGGTCTTTGGTTTGATGGTCCCGCCGCCTGATCTCCGGCTCCGGCTGTAGGAGGGTCGACCCCGAGAGATCGGAACATCTCCGCGTCCGTCTGCACCGGCGGCGGTCGAGTCCTAGTAGATGACCTGACGGCAGACGATCCTCCGAGAACCCCATCCGCCTTCAGCTTGTCCAGCTGCGCCATGAGTACCGGGTTGTCGGCTCCCATGATCTCGAAAAGACCGTAGAGCATGTCGATCTTCGTCTCGTACCGGTCGATCGTCGTCTCGTACTGGTTCCGCATCTGATCGATCTCCTGGCGGATAACCGGATCTGCCGGAGCCCGGACGTGACCAGTCGCCGTAGCTCTCGGGGTATCACGGATGGACCCCATCCCTAATACCCGCCCCTTTTTCTTTGGGGCAACCTACAAACATATAAAAACATTATGGTTAGGAATATAATTAATTTAAAACTAAAGTTACATTAATTAAAAAAAGTATTCATAATTAATTACGTACCTCTTCGAAGATCTGGTCCATCTCCGCGACCGTCAGCGCCGGGGTCGATTGGACCGAGCTACCTCCGTCAGACGTTTGACGCGCCTGCTGAGTCAGCTGCGTCTGTCGCTCCTCGATCGCCGCACATGCGGCGTTGTAGATCTCCTCCGCCCGAGGATCCGTGAATTCGCCGTTATGCTTTTTATGCGTCTCGGCGAAAACCTTCGTCATCGGAGGAAGTTCTCCTCCGTTATCTTCGACCTACAAAATAAAAAAGAAAAAATTAATTAGTATCAAGAAATAAGAGTTTAATTATTAGTTGAGAAAAAAAATTTAAGATTTTTCAATGTGCTTACCATCATAAGCCGTCTTCCGGCAAAAGGAATCTGGCCGGAAGTGTGCGGGACGTTCTTCTTATTTCCCGCATCGTCAGTAGCGTTCCTGAAAAATATTTTGATTAGAATCTATTAAAAAAAGAAAAAAATAATGTAAATATTAATGAAATTAACTACGACTTACCTAGATACGGAACACTTGGCGGCGGTAGTCTGGTTGGTTGGATCCGACCAGAACTGGACAAGGCCCTGCCAGACGAACTTGGACATAGGCGGCGGCTTGGCCTTGTCGCCCTCGTCCTCCCACTTCCGTTTCCAGTCGGAAACGGTGTTGTTGAGGCGGAATTTGACCTTCTCCTTGAAGGCCGTCTCCACACGTCCGTGTGCGGATGGTTCCCAATGCCAGTTTTGCTAGGAAAAAAAAAGAAGTTAGTAATTATTGTAAAAAGATAAAATTTAAAAATAAAATTAAAGGAAAGTACTTACCGCAAAACACTTGAACCAAGTGTCAAGTGTGGCCCGATCCAGCTTCTTGTAGCTGGTATGGGGTTGTACGAAAAACCCCTTGATGATATCCGAAACGTTACGACCAACTGCATTGTCGGTCGTAAACCTAGTCAAATAAAAAAATAAATAGTTAATTAATATCAAATATATTAGACGAAAAATTAATTAATTTAAAAATATTGTTGGGAAAATTTACGTACCAATAGGTGCCGGGGGCTCGATCCGGGTCGAGTTTGTTCATGCTCCCACGACCGGGTTGCGCCAGAAGATCGTGTACCGTATACTGGGCATACGGTATAGGCGGGATAGGATCATCGTGATCAGGCTCGGCCTGTGCGGGAGCCGCTGGTTCGACTGGTTGTGGTGGAGGCGGTGGTGGCTGCGGAACAACGACCGGTTGGGAAACCGTCTGTTGTGTTCCCGAGGACTCCGGGATGGCTGAGCCGGTCGCCGAGGTAGACGGAACCGAATCGTCAGAATCGAAGAGCTGTCGGTAGTGAAATCTCTTTTTCCGAGGAGCCATATCGACAGAATCTATTAAAAGGAAAAAAAAAATTTGTTACTAATTTTATTAAAATTAACAAGATCCGGATAAATCTAAATTCCGAACCTAAATCTAAATTCCGAACCTAAATCTAAACTAGTGTACTCGTCGTAAAACCGTCGTAACGTTACGATGACATTACGATGGTTCGTCGTAAAGACGTCGTAATGTCTAAACCCTATTCATTCAGGGCATTAAACCCTAGACTTAGGGTTTAGGGTTTAGACAAATCGTCGTAAAACCGTCGTAAAATTGAATCGTCGTAAAACCGTCGTATAATCAAATTTATGCTAAGAAACTCATCGACCAAGGAGGGAACACTATGGGTCGATGAGTTTCTTAGCATAAATTATTACTGTGTTCTAAAAGTTCGATAATAACAAACATTCACTAAATGCAATGCATGAAATTCAATCAGATTCATCTTCCTCTATTACTTCATCACCATCACCGTCTTCTTCCGCCAAATCGTCATCATCGGTTTCAGCAAACTCATCATCACCTTCTTCTTCTGTATCATCGGGAAGATCTTCAAGTTGCCTGTTTTGAGGGTCTATTAAGAAAATCTCCTCATCAACATCTGGTTCAGACAGATCTACGCATGTGTCCTGTTGAAGTGGAACATCCTCAACCCCTACAATCTTGCCCCTCGGAGCCACTTTAACTACAGCTAACCATGAAATTCCTGTGGATCGAACTCTCGGGTATGGCAGAAATGTTACCTGTTCTGCTTGAGAAGCTAATATAAATGGCTCAAACCTGTTGTACCGTCGTGATTTGTTCACGTCAACAACTCCAAACTTGTTTAGACGTACCCCTCGTCCAACAGTTGGATCAAACCAATCACATTTGAAGAGAACAGTTTTCAGCCTTAACAATCCAGGATACTCTACTTCAATTATTTCTTGCAGAACTCCATAAAAATCGATTTCACCCCTCACACAAACTCCATAGTTTGTTGTCGCCCGCTTTGCACCGTGACGGTATGTGTGAAAAACATAGCCCTGAGTGAAATACATTGAGGCTGTAGTTATTTTTGCC